AATTTATAGAATATTGTTTGGGTGAAAAGAGTAACCTGAAGGAAGAGATTACTTCTAAGAAAATTTATAGAATATTGTTTGGGTGAAAAGAGTAATCTGAAGGAAGAGATTACTTCTAAGAAAATTTATAGAATATTGTTTGGGTGAAAAGAGTAATCTGAAGGAAGAGATTACTTCTAAGAAAATTTATGGAATATTGTTTGGTTGATAAGAGTAACCTTGCATGGCTCCTGCTGGGCCAGGTGCGCACCAATTCCGCATTCTTCATCACTTGATTCTACGGTCCTGATCGACCCATCCACACCCATCTTACCAAGTGTGTGGTCTGGATCGTCCCATTTGTTCAGGAAAGCACAATAAATAAATAAATAAAACTCTGCAAAACTACACTTCAGAAACTTCAACTTCGCCACTCTCGATCTTTCCGCCCCTGCCTCGCCCCCACCACCTTTTAAACCTTCACCTCGTTATCTCCGGCACTCCCTTCAACCTCATTCTTCTCCTCTCTCTCCTAAACGGTAAGGTTCCTAGCTACTTAGACCTGTAAGACAAGAGCGACTATCAAGAACTAGAAGAAGAACTAGTATTCCGTTTTCTGCTTCAGAATTTCACCTGGGACATTCTCAAGGTAGCTACTTTTTCATCACTGACATCTGTTCTAAAATGGGATTCCTTTTTTTTTTTTTTTTATTTAGCTTGTTTTTAGTTTAAATTGTACTTGTATGCTTTGATCTTTTCATGTTTTCGGCCGTTTCCATTGCCAATGCTGGTTCTTTGATCGAATGGAGCTGTGTAAATGGCTCCCTTTTTCTTGTTCTAGCTTAAAGTTTGCTTTTTTGGAGTTGATTTTCTTCTTTGGTTTCATATTTATGCTCTTAATCCTCTTTACGAGTGCTCTCTCTATGGAAATGTTTGTTTTATATGGAGTACTGTCTGTCGTTTATCTTGCAACATTGTGCTTGCCAAGTGAAAAATGTTTAAACCATCGATTTTTTTTTGGTTCGGCAACTTTTTTTTTTTTTTCATTCTTTCTTTTTAGATATGTTGGTTTATGTTGGGCCCAACTAATCCTTTGGTTTCATTTGGTTCCAGTAAGGCTCTGCAGATTTACCGTTTTTAATAGAAGAATTACATGTAGTAAAGAATACTATTTAGTATTGATTATTATTTGCAATTTGTTTCTGTAGATCCTGAAACCATGCTCCAATTAAATATATTTTGTTTTTTTTGTGTCCATATAGTAGTAAACTATGATATTTCAACTGGCTTTGGAGATTGTCTGATTATGTTTGTCATTTTTTCTTGTCTGTTATAATCCGTCCAAAAAAAGAAAAGGGAAAAAAGAACATGAACTTTGAATTGGCTACACATCTTAAATTGATGACTATGGTTGATCTGACCTTATTTTCAGGAGCATAAGAGAGAGATTTTGTTGGGTCCCTATATTCCTTGGACAATGAGTGTTTATATTGTTGGTGCAGTTGTCCCTCTTGTACTTACCCTTCTAGCCCAAAGCTCCAAGAAGATGAAGAAGAGAGGGGTTCCGGTTGATGTTGGTGGAGAACCTGGCTATGCAATACGAAACAGCCAATTCACCTCTCCTGTTGAAACAGCATGGGAAGGTATATCTACTCTTGCTGAACTTTTTGAGCAGGCATGTAAGCAGCACAGAGATAAATACTTGCTTGGAACTCGAAAACTGATTTCAAGGGATGTTGAAACTTCTGGGGATGGAAGATCCTTTGAGAAGCTTCATTTGGGAGAGTATGAGTGGTTAACTTATGGGAAAGCATTTGAAGTTGTGTGCAGCTTTGCTTCTGGCTTAGCTGAACTTGGGCATAAAAAGGAAGAACGTGTGGCTATCTTTGCTGATACAAGAGAAGAATGGTTTATTGCATTGCAGGTCTTATCTAATTTTTTATTTGACTATTTCTCTTGATTATCATACTGTTACTTTGATGAAAATGCAAATTGAGTCAGAAACTTTGCTTTTTTCAATTAACTATAATGTCTTCTCTTTCCAGGGTTGCTTTAGGCGAAATGTCACTGTGGTGACTATATATGCATCTTTGGGAGAGGAGGCTCTATGTCACTCGCTAATTGAGGTCCTCTGTTTGTGTGTGTGTTTGTGTGTGATGAGTAATTGATTAACAAAGTTGGGTAGGTAGCCTAAAGCCCATCTGCAACATTGCTTCCCACTTCCTGTGACCTTTTACTGAGGAGTGAGGGGAAGCAGAGTTGGAGGAGGTGATTGGCTGTCCTGGTCAGCTATTATAAATTTTATCTTTGATCCTCCTTGTTTGTTAGTTCATAACACTTTATACTTTTAAACCTTCTTTCCAGACAGAGGTGACAACAGTTATTTGTGGGAACAAGGAATTGAAAAAGCTTGTTGACATTAGTGGGCAACTTGACACAGTAAAGCGTGTGATATGTATGGATGATGATATCCCATCGAATACTTTACCACTGGTACGAAGTGGTATTTGGACAGTCACTTCTTTTGCTGATGTTGAGAGACTTGGTCGTGGTAATCCTATTGATGCTGATTTACCTCACTCTTCTGACGTAGCAGTTATAATGTACACAAGTGGAAGCACTGGATTGCCAAAGGTTAGATACATGATATATCTATATGGCTTCTAAACCTTCTATTATCTTATACAAGCTTTATTTATCAGTTAGCTCAAATACCAGATACAAGGGGGAAAGATGACTACTATCTTTCCACCTTTAGGTTTATTAGTGACCAAACTGCTTCAATGTCTGATAATAATTCATTAGGTTGCAAATATGAGCAATTCAAAACTTACTAGGTTAAACAAATATCATTCATAATATTGTTTGTGATATTTTTGAAATAGTTATCTTAGCGATCCTATCTCTGTATTTTATCAAGCTGCTTTCTATATGTTGCCATTGTACAGGGTGTAATGATGACACATCACAACGTCCTAGCTACAGTTTCTGCAGTGATGACAATTGTTCCTGACCTTGGGAGCAAGGACATTTATCTTGCATATCTACCCTTGGCTCATATCCTTGAATTAGCAGCTGAGGTATGCAGCATTTTTATATTGACAATATATTAATTGGTATTTGTTTCTTTTTTCATATAGAATTTGTTGACCAGCAGTTTGTTTTAACATGTTTAACTATTTATGTTGTAGAATATAGTTGTTGCTGTTGGAGGTGTCATAGGATATGGATCCCCTTTGACACTTACTGACACAGGGAGCAAGATAAAGAAGGGAACAAAAGGTGATGCGACTGTACTAAGGCCAACAATCATGACAGCTGTCCCAGCAATACTTGATCGTGTTCGAGATGGTGTGCGGAAGAAGGTTTGGGGATTCACATCTGTGCATGCACTCAATTATTTTTCTGCAACTTGTTTCCTCAATTTGTTTGACTATACAGAGACTAAATCTTCTTTCATCTCAGGTGGATGCAAAGAGAGGACTGGCCAAGAGGTTGTTTGACTTGGCATATGCACGTAGATTATCTGCTATAAATGGTAGTTGGTTTGGGGCTTGGGGCCTGGAAAAGCTTTTATGGGACTTTCTTGTCTTTCGAAATGTTCAAGCAGTTTTAGGAGGTCGCATACGGTTTTTGTTATCTGGTGGTGCTCCTCTTTCCGCTGATACTCAAAGATTCATCAACATTTGTCTTGGGTTAGTATGCTAGAAAACTATATGGATTTCTATTGTTTCTCTTGCATCTGACAGTTTTTATTTTTAAAATATAATAGAAAGCTTATATCAAGATGACTCAACATTAAAAAAAAAAAAAAAAAAAAACATAATAGAAAGTTTATATTAATATGACTCTACAATTGAGATTAGCAATGATGTGAAAATTTCATCAAATTCTTTGGATGTTTGGTGTGTCTTTGACCATACTGGGAAAAGTCTGATCACACTGCAATTTACCTTATAAAGTTCTGAGAACACTAAGAGGCCTTGAAACGAAATATTACATGCTAATGTTGGACCTTAGCCCAACATGAGGATGCCTTCATCAGAATGAATATCAGGAGTTATATTTTCTTGTATTCTTATATTCTTCTTTTTAAGCATCATGCTCTAATTGAATGCTTTTCTAGTGCTCCAATTGGACAAGGGTATGGTCTGACTGAGACTTGTGCTGGTGCAACCTTTTCTGAGGTTGATGATACATCTGTTGGTCGTGTTGGTTCTCCACTTCCTTGCTCCTTTGTTAAGGTAAGATTATAATTGTTTTACCTCCATCAGTTTGAATGGAAGGGTTTTGCTGATGCTTCTCTTTGGAAAAATTTCTGCTTATGACTAATTATGGAGAACTTCAGATTAGCAGCTAAATCTGTTTTTCATGCTTGTGATTCTGATGCATGATCCTCAAGGCTAGCACAATCCTTTCTCTTAGTCTTAAGTTATATAAGAATATATTCAATATCATCTTTTAACGACAGTCAGTGCATGCACTTTGTGATGTTAATCATATGCATAACTATCTTGTCTATTTCAGTTAATAGATTGGCCTGAAGGTGGATATCGAACGAGTGATTCACCAATGCCTCGTGGAGAAATAGTGATTGGTGGTCCAAATGTCACACCTGGATACTTTAAAAATGAAGAAAAAACAAAAGAAGTTTACAAGGCGAGTTTACAGACTTTAAATATGTATTTGCATTTCATTTGTAGTTTAACTTCTTCTCTTTTTTTTTTTTCTTTTCTTTTTTTTTCTTTTTGGTCTTATTTGTTTTGTCAACCCTGTCAATCTTTTGTTGTGAAAAGGTCGATGAGAGAGGAATGAGGTGGTTCTATACTGGTGACATAGGAATGTTTCATTCTGATGGTTGCCTTGAGATAATTGACCGTAAAAAGGACATTGTCAAACTTCAACATGGAGAATACATCTCTTTAGGGAAGGTGTGAAATCTTGCAACTGAAACAAGTTGGCATTTGATAGTTTTAGTAACTAATATTTCTCCTCCAGGTTGAGGTTGCTCTCATTGTGAGCCCCTATGTTGACAACATTATGTTGCATGTGGATCCATTCCATAGTTTCTCTGTGGCTCTTGTGGTGGCTTGCCAGCCTGCAGTGGAAGAGTGGGCTTCAAAGCAGGGAATAAGTTTTACTGATTTTGCTGACTTGTGCCAAAAAACAGAAACCTTGGCAGAAGTGCATGCTTCTCTTGTTCAGGTACATTTTCTAAAATAATGTTTCAACTATTTTCAACTTTATATAGCAAACTCGATTTTAGATTATAAGATTATATATATGGTTGTTTTGGACCATCTCAGATGCAGTGCAACATCTATATAAGATTTAGGATAAATGATTTTTCTTGTTTTGAATCACTGATTTTAACTTTCCCAAACTATTTGCAGGCCGCAAAGAAGGCTCGATTGGAGAAGTTTGAGATCCCTGCAAAAATCAAGTTGCTTTCTACCCCATGGACTCCTGAATCCGGCCTTGTTACGGCATCTCTAAAGATCAAGAGAGAGGCCATTAGAAAAGCTTTCTCTGATGACCTTACTAAACTATATGCATAATAATGTTGAGAGGAAGTGGTTTACTGCTCGTGGAAACTGCTTCCGTGCATATTCCCACCTTCTTAATCTTGTCTTCAAAACTCACAATATATTCCTATTAGGGAACCATGCCCTTGTTTTAGATGCCTTGAAGCGAGCTTTATATATAGAAATCTTCATTTTATTTTTCTTGTATTTAGTAGACCATTACATGGCCCTCAAATGGAGAACACTCTCCATTTCTTTTGGTACATCCGAGCAGTGAGTCCTCACATACAAAGCAAGAAACCTCTATAATAAACCATGTTTTGGTGGGGAAAAATCATACTCAACCACAAGGAAGCCTTAACATGGAAAAAGCAGGTGGTTCTGAATACTGTGGAGGCGTATTGCCTTTGTTTGATGGGAGCCCCAGCTTCATAAAAAAAATCTATCTACCATGTCCCAAGCTAATGCAAATTTGACCATTCAGCTATAGACTCTATCTACTAAGTTGTTAAATTTCCATTGGCTTGGAACAACATATCAATTTAATAAACAAGAACTTCCCCCTAAAATGGCCTTTGCAATAGACACATACTATTTGATACAATAAGAGAGTTAAACTCACCTCTTTTCTTGTTTTGCATGATTACAAGACAAAGCCATGGGATCTGCAGATCCTTACCTTACGGAATGCTAGTGATTTAGTTATATGAGAAATTTAATTCTTAATCATGTTTGTGTAATTATAAGTATAGATGGTTGTGGTAGTTGGAGAAAAGACTTTTGCTTGGTATTGAAGGTTTAGGAAAAGAGAAGGGACAAAGGAGGAGTATTGGAGAGTTCTTAAACATTACCAAGAGGTTAAGACACTAATAACCAACAATTTGGTAGAACTCCTTAGAATTTAGAGAGATAGTGGGAAGGAGTTAGTTGGTAAAAAGGAAGGTGCAAAGTGTTAAATCAAATTAAAGTCGGACTAGACCTACAACAGGATCCCAAATCGAGAATTTGGTCCATGATGGAAGACCTGACACTCCAAGCCAACCAAAATGGAAACAGACCCTTCTTTCCTCCCATGTGACCATTTCTTCATTTGTTTCTCTTCATTTTTTATGCTTTTAGTATGTTCCAATGCACTCTCTTTTCTTCAACACATGGGTTTAGGGTCAATGGACATGTGGGTTTCACTTTCTTGAACAAGTGGAATCAATTCATTGGTTTGATTTGATGAAGAACTATTCTAATTGAATTTAGAAACCCCGCATTTTAAAAGATCAACGCAAAGCAACTGCTTTTTCCACTTTCCCCTCTCCTAAATGGCCTTGGGTTGCCCCAATTCCCCACATATGAATTGGGAGTCACAAATTTTAACTTAAGTCTCATCCACTGATTCACACGACACTTTTGCCCAACTTTCTAGGGGCCCTGTATCTCCATGTTCCCATGAATCTGATGTGCTACCAAAATAGAATACATATAAATACATGCATTCAAAGCAAAGCAATCTCCAAGAATTTTCCATTCCAATTTACTTGATTACCACAGAGGGAGGATTTGCATTAGGAAAAAACAGAAAACCATCACCCCTGCCCCGCTCTTAGCTTCACCTAATTAATGTTAATTAGCTGCACAAAAGTTTAGTTCCCTTTTGGACCCATGTAGCATTACTTCAAGTAAATCATGTAGGTAATATCAGAACTGGATTTAAAAATTAAAGAGAATGTCCTTGGTTGGCCATCCAAAGTCCAAACCTAAACCCACCTATTATAATGTCCGAAGTCCAAACTGATATACATGTTGGTTTGGTGGGCCAATCTCTCTTGATCAAATTTCTTTCTTAACTTCTCCCCTGTATAAGCTAACCACACCTTATTCCATTCTCCCTTTTTTCTCTGGAGTGTCAATTGTGTTCTCTCTTTACCCTTTACACCCAATAGCAATAACATAACATGAATGGCTATGGACAGGAAAACTCACTCTGCTATTTCCATCCCAAAGAAGTTGTTGTTGGGGTTTGTCATCTCTGCTTGAATGAGAGGCTTCTTATCTTGGCTGCAAAGCAGGGTCAGCACTCCTCCACTAGAGCCAGCCGCTGGATTAATGGCCCTGCCACCAAGAAGCCACCCATCACTCTCCCCAAGATCTTTGCCATGGGTTCATTTCTCCACCGTCTTGATTTCCGGCGTTCTAAATCCAGTTCTTCTGATGATCTTGAAACTTCAACAAGTCAAGAAGGTACTCAGCACTCTCCCTCATCATTTTTTTTTTTAATAAAAAAAGAAGTTTGTGCTTAGTTATTGCAATGTCCTGCACATAATTCTTCAGATCATTTAGACATCCATGCGATTGATCCTGATCATGATGCTTTAGACTCACGCTCCAAATTAAGCTTTTACAGACTCCTTTATCTCAATAAAGTTTGAGGAGAATGGCATGGCCTCATGGGAAAAGGGCACAATTTCTAAGGTCTCTCTTGAGCATTGCAGCATGTCTAAGAACCCACCCTTAACCAAGGAGACCAACAAGAGTGTCATAGAGCATCCAAGGCCGCACGCCCAGCTTAGGTGGCGCAAGCGGGTTGCTCACATGTTCCAGCTCATGAGGTGGAAGAGGTCCAACAAGGGCAATGTGAGCACCAAGGTTGAGGGAGTCAAGGTCAGGAAGGGTTGGATGAGGACTTTTGCGAAGAGAAAATAAGAAAGAGTAAAAGTGGTTTAATTTTGCGTATGTAAAAGGAAAAGCTTTTCCTCCTCCATACCCACAGTTATGTCTTTGGGGCTCATTTGGGAATGCAGAGTGCTACATTTCTTTAGAAGGTAGAGTCAAAATGTACTTTTATCATTCTTACAAATTGCTTTGGCTTGTAAAGCTAATGGGCTTGTATTTCACTTTTGATTTTGGTAAATACTACTAAGCTGTAAAGGGGGTTCAATTGTTTACCGGGTGCCTTGCTTTCAGAGTACCGTAAACAAAGGCAGATACCTTATACAAAGTAATAGATTTTTATGATCCCATTTCCATGTTGAGCAACATCTAAGTGAATTTTATTTTCCTTGAATGTACTAGACCAGACCTTATGCTCTTAAAGTTATCAAAGAAGGAATTAGTTTAATGTGCGTACAAACTGTTTAGAAACACCCTAACCAATCAAACCAAAAATACAAAATATTTTCCCATCTCCATGCTGAGCCGTTCAAAAGCAAGTTCACCAACCTCCAAGTTAGGCTCGCAGAAGTGGGAAACATTGGGGCAGAAGGACCCAAATGAAGGTGTGCTCTCAATATACAATTGGCTAGCAAATTGTCTTGTTGTCTTGTTGGGAGGGGTATCTTGTTTCAGTTGAGTACTCAGAAAAGGGTATATGAATTGGACAGAATTGAAAAGATTGGCTAGCTAACATGACTTTCCTTTTTACCTTATTGATTAAAGTTCAATTTGTATAGGAGATAACGTGAACGTAATTTTTACAAATATCTTGATCTTGGAGAGTATAACTTGACTTAATTTGACTGAATAAGAAGATCAGAGATGTGGACTTAGTCTAAGGTGCCTAGACCAGGTGAGGGTAATGCTTAACAAAACTAAATGCCCACACATGCATACCGTTGGAGATTCAATGCCCCATGTGAAGAGGACAAGGAAGGCCCTAGTTGGTTCAGTAATGCCTTTCAGTAGGACATCCTGTTCCAAATGCTAACCCTAGCAATGGGACCATTTTGCATATGAACACTATTTGTCCATGGTGGAAGTTGAGGGAAGGCTCAGATTAGGGTGGATGAAATGACAAGTCATAAATCTTCCCCCATCTCCATCATCATCAACAACAGCAGCACAGGAAGGAGAAGATTATCATAGAAGAATCACTAAATTTCTATTATACATACATATAGAATGTCACTAGATTTTTATCTTTCTGAACAACTTGCCAAGTTCATTAATAAATCAATCATAAATTCATGAAAGAAACATTAGTCAGTTTCTTCAAATTAGAAAATAATTGAAATTGACTACACAGGAAGGAAGAACAATCTAAGTTGGTATGATTTCAATCTATAATTTCATACTATTTTTCCAGTATGAGGAGATTTGTTCATTGGAGAGTTGCACAATATACATGTTGGGCACAACTTTGAATCAAAAAATAAAAAATAAAACTGAGGAGTTTTCATTCAAAGCTTTGGTCGCAAGAAAAAAAAAAAGAGGCTTCTTCTCCTTCTTCTTCTTTTGTAAGCTCAATTTAAACAACTTTTGAGGGGAAATGTATTGTCACACCTCACAAAAGGGTGTGATTATTTAGCAATTTTAGGTCTTGGTAGGTCACTGTCCTTATCTTTTATCTTTTATTATGATAAAATCAGCTCCCTTCTACCACATAAAGTTTCGCTTTTTGGTAAAGTTGGAGATGATATAGACCCAGAATTGAAAGCACTCAAATCTCCTTCAAGTGCCTCATTCAAATTAAGAGACATTTTTTACTTTGATGGGAACAAGAAGGCAAACAGGACAGATAACAAACTAGACAAGACTGCATTGTTTCATTACATGTTTGACTGAATGCTTCTCTCCACTCTTACACTTGGGAGCAACAATGATCTGTATTAATGTCCTTCAAGCTTTTTCCTCCAAAAAGGTTTCCTCTTTTCCTAGGACCAATTGCTTTCACCTTGTACTTCTTTTCTCTCTTGGGTAAAGTCACTCTTTCTATTGTGAGTTGTTAAATTAAATTGCTTTGATTCCATCTTAGTCCAAGATGGTCCCCAAGTTTGAAATTAATATAACGTTTTTGTTTATGTTAATAGCATCGGAAACTCATCATGGTAAGTGCATCAATTTCGAACATTGTGAGCAATGGTACAAACACTAAGATAATTGCTTCAAACAAGAAATATAGTATTCAATATTCAAATCGTTTCCATTTACAATTTGGGTTGTAAATGGCCCAAGAAATACATGGACCAAGAGGCAGAACCCAGATTCGATAATCTAGGCCCGAGAGATCAAGATATAGCGTTCGTGAAGGTCTCAACTCCGTGGAACAGTCTACTAGTTCCCCCACACAGATTTAAAACTTAATTGTTAAAAAGATATATACATACATAGATATATATATATATATTGTGGTAGTATGCTTAACATTTTTGTCACATATTTAAAAATTTAGACTTGATAAAGTTCGGTTGAAAAGAAATATAATGAGCAAATCAACAGGTAGAACCAACAAGTTAGTCCTACTTTGAAAGGATAATCATGGGAGTCTCACCGTCGATTACCAAAATGCCAAGTTATGAGATCGGCGTCGCTTACCAACAGCATTTTTTGTCTTCTACTTTTTTTATCTTTATATTTTTAATTATTTTATTATTATACATTTTTTATTTTTTATTTTTATATTCTTAATTATTTTATTATTATTAATTTTCATTATATATAATATAATATAATATAATACGTTAAAATGAAAAAAAGATGAATAAATACTTAAAATTTATGAAAAATAAATGTATAAAATTATAATACATGACATAATAAATATTTATATAGTTATAATTTTTTCTAATCTTTTTTTTTTCTTTTATGCACAATACCCTTTTATCATCCTATTCACCTATATATAAACTCTCACTTTTTTCTACACCAATATATTATATTCTCCTTTTCATCTTTTCAAATTCATTTTATCAATATGTTGAGTTCCAGTTTTTTTCTTTTTTGTTTCATATTTCATATTATATCTAAATATAATATTATGTTTTTATTTTGTATATCTTTTTTCATCTTAATCTAAGATATGTATATTGTTGTATAAACTAATTTCCTTATTAATCTTATTATTTTTTTATGAATTTTTTTATAGAAGATATGATAATTGTTTTTTTAAAGAATTTATAACTTTATCTATTTGAAATTTATGTATTATTTTGTTTTTTAAATTATTAATGGTTCAATTTTTTTTTTTTTTTTGGATGTGGGGTAAGGACAAAACTTTATTCAAGGGATTGAAGAAAATGTATGAATTTGATAAATGTCAAGTTATATGAAAATATTACATTTTTTTTGTAAGATATTATATTTTTTATTTTATTTATATTATATTATTATTAACTTTTTGTTTTTTTTTTTAATTATAAAAATTCTACTTCACATTTCTTATAGATTTTATATATATCAAATATTACTAATATTACTGTTATATATATTTGGGAATGTGCATTTAATTATACTAAAATCTCATTCAAATAATTTTTTTTGTAACTTTAATTTGAGCATTTACATTAATATATTAAAATAGTTTGTAATACAAGTTAAAGGAATAAAATAAGAATGGACAAAAATGATAGGAAATTGAAAATGAGAAAAGGGACAAGAAAAATAATCAAAAACAAAATTTTACAAGTTAAATAATTATAAAAAAAGAGTTGGTAAAGACTAATGTAAAAAAAAAAAAAAAGATAATCGTTAAAGTATGATTTTTTTATTAAAATGATAATTGATATTGTTTAACTTCAATTTTAAAGAACTATGCATTTGATTAAATAAGAATTAAAAATAACTAAAGAAGATGAAAAAAAAGTATAAGATAAAAATTATTTGATTATTAGACTAACAACTAATAAAACTTATATATTAAAAAAATTAAAAG